AGCTATTATGGTAAYTGTTCTTCCTTCATGAAGTTACCAGATGCTCACTGACAGTGCTTTRTAAGCACTATTAGACACAACAAAAAAGGCAGAACTGATGAACTCTACTGGAAAAGCTCTGTATGGCTTTTCTGAAGTGAGCAGCCAGGTCTGAGGTTAAGTAAAGAAGCAGYATTCCACGAAAGCATTAACTGGAACTCCCAAACCACCCACACCCATGGAAACCAAGCAGTAAGCTACCTTACACAAATGGATGGAGAAGGACTGGCCTCTAGTGGCACTCAGCTGTTACAACAGAGCCACACACTGAGCATGAGACTGAACAAAAGCCCAAAAACTCTTCAGTACCCGGCCATAGATGCATTACCTCTCGGATAAGTTGATGCAAATTATGTTCCAGAACATAGAGATGATCCTCTGGATTCTGTTTTTCAGAAGCAGCCTTTTGTGACTTCTTGTCATTGGAAGAGTGACATAGGGAAATAGACAACTGCAAACCTGTACAAAACAGATGGGAAAAAAATTTAAAGTGAGCACTGATGATTTTCAATGCTGTTACTGAGAACTGCTTTTCTTCACATTTTATGCTCAGTAGTTTAATAATACGTATTCAYTGTATCAGAGAAAAATCAAAGAGTGATGGCAGAGAGCACAATACGAAAGGCAAGTAAGACTTGCTATTCACTGAAGKGTTGACAGGCCAATTGCAAACTCAGCAGGTGCATTTTTACATCRATTTCTGTGRCTCAAWYCCACACAAARAAGCAARYYCCCAGGACYCCACGCCTTTCTCAAAGAAGGAATRATTAACCATCATACACATATGTTCCAGAAATATATTCTTTGCAAGGTATAATCCGCTGTGTACCCCTTCTAAGAACAAGGGATTCACCACTGACTCTGAGCTTCATGCTGTTTAATTATCCTCACTGAAGAGCATTTGCTTTTGTTCTTTGGAATACCCATTAACTCAAGTCTTAAATTGCTTTTGCATGCAATCCAGAAACATTGACTTATGCACAACCACCCACTCATGGCAGTACAGCTGACAGTTTTAAGTGCTGCTGACAAAAAACATAATCACAAGCAAAAACAGTAATTTAGAAAATACTGTGCATTAACTGAAATTGTTTTTTGGAAACTTTGAAAATCAAGCAGTTTGTTTTTTTCTTTTCTAAGGATAGAGCATTCAAAAACGTGACATCATTCAGTAATTTCAGTTCATACTTAAGCAAATAAATGTAGGTTAAATGTATTAAAAAGTTTCCTACCTGGGAAAGGCTGGGAGATTATCTGATTYTTCACTACAATGTGAGGAATCTGTGATTTAATTTGAACAGCTTCTCGTGACAGCTGGGCAAAAATTTCTTTACATAAAAGAACATTCTGTGCAGTTTCCAACTTTGTCTGCCAGTGTGGAGAACCTGAAAAGTAAAAATCAATTTGCAGAAGGGAAAGCAAAGAGAAGCCACCCTTTTGTTCGGGTGCCAGACAGTATGCACTAGCTASGTGTGATCACTAAGATAAAGCAGTCAGTACCTTATACCCAAATTAAATATTATCAGAATTTTATCTCAGTTTAACAAGTACTTCAAAGTAAACTAAAACTAATTTTGATTCAATTTTACATRTATGTATATTATGAAATGGAAGGCCTTGTGGAACAGTGTATTACACTCCCAGGCCTTTTGTGAACTCTCCTTATGAACCTCTGCTTCGTACATTTTAAGTTACTCTGAATGATACTTCAGGCTTCATCAAATTCACTCTATATCAACTACCCAATAATGTTCAGTGCACGTATGTGCCTTCACAGGGTTTACAGGCCCAAAATTCTTGGGAGATTCAGGGGTGTGCAAGTACACAAGCTCTATAATGTACCCTAAATACCATATGAAACAACTCATAGTGCAGCACTCTGCTGCATTCAGGACAGCACCAGCATCTGTGTCACAGATGACTGTGAAATAAAATCCTGCCWGTTTATTTCTAGCTCTAAAGAGTATAGATTTTTAATCCAAAAGTTTACAACTTCACATACTGGCACATATTAAATGAATCAATGTACTCTTTATCAGGTGAGCTGTTGGCAATTAAAACAYAGTCCACCAGCACAGTTTCAGATCCAAATAAAACACAGGAGCAACAGACACAAATTATGCATTCTGGGCAGTTAAGAGTGAAGAGTCATTAGTTCAGCTGAACTAATRGGATGTAACTGACTGAAACACAACACCTTGGTTTGATTTCAGTCATGGGCTCAAACTTTTGATGTCTAACAAAAGGGTCTCCAGAATACTCAAAATACAACCCTAATAATTTTGTTTCAGAACTGARTACACACATACAAAAAACTGAAGGAGTGTGCTTTGAAAGTGTCATATTTCCAAAGCCCAAGCATCACTCAAACAGAAAATGTCTTGTTCATTCTTCTTAAGCTGCATGCTAAAATGTAAACAAGCATCATATGCAAACTAATTTCTTGAGAACATAGTCATAAAACAACACATAAGCCATACCTGGTTTTGATTTTGGCAAAGGTCTTTTAAAGAGATTGACTGTCCCGAGGTCACCAATGTCTGGAGCTTGTTTCTGAATAGAAACCTAGGCAAGAGAGRACAGTATATTGTTTGTTCTCTGTTGCAAGCATACAAATACCAAAACAAAACTCCACTAAATCATTAAGGTTTCTCTGACAAACCTTGATATATGCTGATCCCTCTAAATCACTTGGAATTTGAACATCCAAAGGACAGTAATCCTCAGGTATCTTTTTATCCAAGTCAATGTCAGTGTTCTTTATCACCTCAAATGTGCCATGATGAAGAAAAAGGGAGCCTGAGAAAAGAAGGACAAAGACATACACATTAAATACAAAGCATCTTTGGCAAATAAAAAAGCTCACACCTCTATTTCCAAGTGTCCAAAACAAGGTGCACTTGACTCAAGTTCTTAGTGACTTCTTAAAAAACACTAGATAAATTAGAATGTGGAATTGTTTTCGTGAACAAATCCTACACAGCTGGCTTTTCACATCACTTTCCAGACTGAGGCTGGCAAGACAATTTCACTGATACTAACAAGAGTTCTCCCTTTATAATCCTGTCTCATAATTATAGATTTACATTGAAATTATTTATTATGAGATATTCCATCTCTTTTTCCAGTTACCAAAAGAAAATTTCATAAAATATCCATTCTTGTGAAAAACACCCTACTGTTCACCTGCACTTCTGTAGCTCAGATCACCAAGAATTTTATCTCCCACTTTTCTCAGCTTCCAGTGTTGTCTCAGTCTTAGCAGTTCAGAGTTGAAGTCTCTTTGTCGCTTGTTTTCCTGGTTTTCAGCAACTGATTTGGATAATCTTTCAGCACCTTTCAAYAGGATCTGAGCTGCTCCAGCTAGTGACTTCTTTTTTGAAATCAGCTGTAGAAACTGAGGATTCTAGTACCAACAACAACAACAAAAAGATAAAGCAATACTTACATCTTAATTCACAAAAGATTATTATTAGTGAAAACATACAGTGATTGAAAAGTTGTTTTTGCTGGATGTCTGCTAACTTATTCAGAATTACTTTCATATCAGCATTRTACCATTGGAAACAACATTTTGACTTAGAACTTCAGCAAAGAGGCTTCTAAAACTGGCCTCAACTTCCATTCCCAGCCTTACTATCATCCCCAATATGCAGACCCTTAAAGCACTGAACTAGCACATCAAAAGGAACATTTTGATAAATCTAGTACTTGTCACACCTGAAAAAGGAAAAAATCCACTGAAATAAAATCTTTAGCATCAAGCCACACAAAGYGCACAACTAGGTACAACATACTTGTTTTGGAGGAAGGGGATCCTGTGCGACTGGATCTAGAGTCATGAATTTCTTATCCTTCACAATGCTAAGAACGTCATACAAAACACACATCTCAGTCAAGGCACTTCTTAAGTTGTTCCTCACTGAATCCCAAGGCCAGAGGGATGGCTGAAACTTTACCAACCCTAAAAATAAAACAAATTAAGAGAAAACAAAGGACTTAAAAAAGATACGGTGTAAGGCTCATTTTTAAACCACAAAGTGATCATAACGGCACGAAATACAACACGATATCATAGGTGAAGCTATCCTTTCCCACTACAGTTTACTGGGACTCGGTCACGAATATTCTGACCTGCCAACCAAGGGRACCCCTGGGGAAGGCAGGCCCGGCCCAACCACCCGCAGAGCTGCAGGCCGGCACCGCCACAGCTCGGCGGGCCTCCCGCAGCTGCATCCCGGAGGGAGACCTCGGGCTGTGGGCCTCCTCACCTTCCTCATCCTCTGTCTCGCCCGGCTCGGCCCAGGCGCGGCCCGCCGAGCCTGGCTCGTCCTCCTCGGAGCCAGAGCCCTGGCTGAAGTCGATGCGCTGCGCCAGGCGCGCCAGGTTCTGGGACATGGAGAGCGGCTGGAGGTAGGTCTCGCTGCCATCCAGCCCCACCTCCTGCACCTGCTTCTCGCACGCCGACTCGATGCTGATGCGTACAGCCGACACGCCCGCCATCTTGGCGCGACCCCCGTCCGCGCTCGGCAGGGCGGGGCCAGAAACGGCAGGCTCGGCCATTTCCGGAAACGCTCGGGAGGGAAAGAGACGCGAGACGGGCGGGCTCGGCCATTCCCGGATGACGCTCGGGAGGGGGCGGGACCTTTGTGAGTGGGCTCGGCTGTCTCCGGAGACAATCGCGAAGGGGCGGGGCTAGGCGCGGTGAGGGGCGGGGAGCAGAGGGGAGGATGTTGAACCTAGCAGCTCGGACGTGAAGCTATTTTCTTCTACAGTGTTGTTTTTGACCAGAAGTTGGTTTTATGTCCCGTTCTAAACATAATTTCTACCCTGGTTCCCCATCGTCAGTCTCAGCCACGCAGGAAGCTCAACCAAACAACAGGAAAATATATAATAACATTGCCATTAAATTACCATTTGGATTCGGTCRTAAGTCCAATAACATGTACGATCAGAGTTCACCCCTTCGACACAATTAAGGAGGCGGCAGCTTACTGCTCTCGTATTTATTCTTAAATCTGGTAAGTGTGCATAATTAAAAGCGTTACAAAAATCAGCATTTGAACTTGAGGAAGGTTAAATCGGCCGCGGGGCTCAGTCTCTCCCGATGAGGTGCGTCTYCTGGGGCCGGTCGATGCGGAACAGCAGCTCGGCGGGCTGGAAGTAKCCCAGGTACTGCACGCTGTCCGGGCTGGTGTCCTGGTGGTAGTGCCCTCCTTCCCCGTGGTGGCTGAAACAGTGYGTGTGCTCCACACGCAGATCAAAGCCCTGGCACCAAGACAGAGTCCCGTCAACAAGGTGTTCATGGGAAAAGCATTTAAAAATCGTGGGATAGTCTATCCTAGATGCATTTTCCACACATCTCCAAATGGTAAGCAGTGAAGACTTGAAAGACACTTGTAAAACCAGTAAGATAAAAGAATATAGAAACCCTGACAGCCCCTRTCTTTTGGTGTTAATCTCACCATGATTTCCTTTTTAACATTTTTCCCCTCCACCTTTTTTTCCATTGGGATTAAATAATGTAGTCATACCAAGGAATCCCTACTGGAAATCAAACCCCTTTGCAAAGAATTGYCATAGGGCCCATGTGATAAAGGGACTGTCTCTACTCTAATTCTGAGATCCAGCCCAGACGAATAATGGGAAGAACGGTGAGTAAAATAGCAACTAATATACTAAACCAATGCTATCAACACCACCAGTTGTATATATCACAGAATGGGTTCAGTTGAAAGGAATCTTCATAGATCAGCTATTCTAACCACCTTGTCATGGGCAGGGACATCTTCYACTTAAACAGCTTGTGCAAAGTCCCATCCAACCTGGCCTCRAACACTTCAGGTATGCAGCATCCACATAATCTCTGGGCAACCTGTTCCACTGTCTCTCCAAAGTCAGCCTAAAAAATTTCTTCCTTATGTCCGATCTAAAGCTGCTSTCTTTCAATTTAAAATCCTTGCCTCTTCTTTTGTCATTACATATCCTGGTAAAAAGTTTCTCTCCGTCTTTCCTAAAAGCCTCCTTTAAATCCCAGAGGGCTGCAATAACATCTTTCTGGAGCCTTTTCMTTTCTTCCCAGGCTGAACAACCTCAGYTCCCAGTCTGTCTTCATAGAGGAGGTACTTCAGCCCTGTGTTCATTTTCATGGCCCTCCTTGGGTCCTGCTCTAAGAGGTCCACATCTTTCTTGGGATTCCAAAGCTACATGCAGGACCCCAGGTAGGGTCTCATGAGGGAATCACCCTGCTTGACCTTCCCACACCTAGTTTGACATAGCCCAGGACAGGATTAGTTTTCTGGGCTGCAAGGGTATACYGGTGAATAGTGCTATGAGTGCTATGGCATTGGAATGCCATCATCTACTGCTCTCTTTGTAGAGACACTCAAACATCTCCAAAACCATAGGCCTAGCCAAGAGCTGTTGAGCTTGCAGTGGATACAGACAGGAGAAACCCAGCTGCATCCACTCCACAAGTTGCATTGGCTCTGAACAGAGCAGCTGTTGATGGCTGCTTTCAAACTATGCATCTGTTGTTTATGGGAAGATGCACACAATTTAGCCCTAGGCCAAAGTCTGCCACGTAATGACACAATAACATCACACCCTTCAACATATCTAAGCTTATAGTATGCCCCACTTAACTCTGGGAAAACATTTTTATATTACTTATGACTGCATTGTTATTTATAAAATAGTCAGTTTCATCTATGGTTTTCTGGTTACTTATAAACAAATAGTTTTCCTGTTTATGAACACCTGAATGGTTTTTGAAACCAGATTGGGTTTTATTCTGAATTATCTGCTGTTGAATTTGATGCTTGTGAAAGATGCTAGATAAATTTCCACCATGARGCTTTGCAGACTTGAATTCACTTCAGTAATAAGATACATGCTTCATGTCTTTCAACACAGCATTAGCAGGGGGAGTTCTTATGAAAGTGAGCTACATAAACATGTGGCTGAACCAGCTTCCAAACTCTTGACTTTTCTCCCACTGTGGCCAGCAGTGAATGTAAACCGTGCTGTTGGGTTTGGGATGCAAACACTTGCACATATGCAACTGGAATTGAACCATTAAGTTAATCCACTGTGAGCAACTACTAGGTTTCAGACTAGATTGACCYATCCTCAATTCAAACAATTGACAGAAATGAGAAACTTCTAAATCATTGCACATCTTTGGAAGAGTCTAACACAGTATATATACACTCCCTTTCTTAAAAGGAAAATCACATCCAAGACAAAACTCATTACAAGTCTCAGTCTATACTTAGCAATAAAAAAAAAGAGACTCACTGGATCTCTGGAAACTATTACTGGTTGACAAATCAGTGGAGCCTTCATTTCAAAGAATTTGAGCCAGTTATTCACATCTTCATCAGTATTCAGGGGACAGGCAGAAAATTCGGGAGGCTACAGCAAAAATAAACGCTTTGTAAATAAATGGAAGACACTTGCATCACAATACTTTTTCTCAAGGAACTTTGCTTTTCTCCTCCCCATCATTCGGTTCATTTCCCTTTTTGACCAAAAGAAACTCAYCAGTGCTCATCATTCTGTTTCTTCCAGAAATAGAAATGAACAGAATATTGCTTCTTTCATTGCACAAGTACTGGGAGAACTACTGAAGTGAGGATGCTCCTCCTCCTGTTTACATTTTTAGAAGCTCAGTGATTTTTAAAAAAGTTTTAATACTTCTTCTTACAAGTATTATCTGAGTTCATGTATTTTATTTAAATTCATTTTACAATAGTTCTCCCATTCTTTAGCTGCACACAGGTTTCAAAAGATGATGGTATTAAGGCCAAGTAAAACAGCATTACTAGTTTTGTAACACTAATTTTGCAATGTCAACTACTTGCTTTAATACAGTGCTCATCCTAATAGTTATGCATACATTTAAAAATACAAAACAAAGTGAAGGAACTAAGATGTTACACCCTGATTTATGCTTCTGTTTTCAGGAGGACAAAGGAAGTTACATTAATTGAGAACATACCATAATGTGAATCTTTGCTTTCCCCTTCTGAATGATAAATGTACCGCCCATCCCAACTGGTTTTTCTCCATAGTGTTTCTCTAAAGTTTGTCTCAGACAGGACACAAAGTTAAGCTCCCCAGTTCTTCCATTGGCTTTCACTTCAATGACCTGGAAGATAAAGTCAGTTTGTCACTGCTRTCTCTCGCTGCAATCATCTGAAAAGGTCTGTGAAAGGTGTTCTGAAATTCTCCCAAGCTGATAACCTAAGATCACTTTTTGAAAAGACAACCTTCCATGCAAGTGCCGCTGCACTTGCATCTTTCCAGTGTGTGACCAACTTKCTTTTCCTTACTTCTGTTCAGTGCCAGCTTTGCCTGTGAAGGAGGTTGGGCAGCAAGATTTACCCACATATGAGACAGTGACATGAGCAACCCCCTTTTGTGGACCAGCTGGCTTCCACTCTGTCAGAAAGAAATGCTGTGTAACAGAAAGAACTCTTCAGTTTCCATGCAGCAGTTGGAAACTGTTCTGCCAGCACCTCTGTGCTGGCTGTGTCAGGAGAAGCACTTGTATGAAAAACTACRCAAGTGCCCACATCTGATTTACACAAGTACTTTGCACAACCATTACCTTAAGGCACAGCTAGTTTGGGGGCGGTGAATGATTTATGATGGAAAAGTTTTAGTAAACTAATACATATCCCTCAAAAATTCAAGTGCCTCTGTCTCCACTAATTCTTCCTCTCATTCACTGGCATCAGTTCCTTATTTTTCATGTTTCTCTTGTGGAATTGCTATTTTACTTTTATTTAAAAAAAAAAAACTGATAGGAGAACCATGAGTTTACCTTTAGACACAAAGCACTGCAAAGTCACCTTTGATTGAAGTACATACCTTACCAGGTTGGCCTTCACTGGCATAAAGGTTGGCCAACAGTCCAAACTCACAGTCAGTGTATTTACTGCTGTACTTCTCAAGCAGGCACCCTTTATCTGCAGGATTTATCTGAGCAATGTAGCTCCCATTTACAGCAGACTTTTTTTCACTCTTAGTTTGAACAATAGGAATAAGCTGGGGAAAAGGACATATAAGAGTAAGTCAGTAAGAACATGTAAGAATCAGCCAAATGAACTGAACCCACATATATATGATTTAGGCTTTGGGTCATGATCCCAAGAAAAAAATCCATTTTGTCACACWGCTCTGTCTCTCAGGATGAGGCCTGTGCAGGTAAAAAAAATGCACTAATACTATAATGTAATTGAAAGGTTCAGAAAACAGGTTTACTTTTTTACTTTTACTGGACAAGTATACTTAAGGTTATATAAATAACAATGCTAGTGTTAAAGAAAAAAAGAAGGAAAGAAAGATCTTTGGCCTGCATGCAAATATTGGAATTCTATGTAATACTTKCTCAGCATAACAGTAACAACCACTGTTATAGTGGACCAAATTTAATGCTGATGTGGACTACCTCATCTGCYGAAAAATCCATCAAAAGGAGGCAGCAAGACCAAAGGTTTATGCCTGAAAATAACTGTGTTTAAAAAAAGTCTTCATAGGCAGTAGTTTTTGTCTCCTACCCCCCCTTGCAGTTTCTCATTTTGTATGTGGCATCTTTGTTTTACCATTGTAAATTTTTAAGTCATCCAAAAGGGCAAAACACAGGGAGTATTTCAAAGGCATTTACCAGTAAGTTTGAGAAGCATTTCCAAATCTTGGAATTAAAACCTCTGATCAGGTCTTTGTCAATTACTTTCAAAACCCATGTTTCTTGCATGCAATCACATGATTCCTGACGAATTACAAGTTAAAAATTAATCTTTATTATCTCAGGAATATGCACCTCAGTGGATGCYCCTCATGTGAATTCCTTCTAATGTGTTTTATGTGTTTGTGGTGTGAAAATGTTTATTAAATACATTGTTGTAAAWGGAAAATACCCAGCATTCTACTGCTCTAGTGTTATGATACTTCCATGAATTCACTGAGAAACATCACACATACTGACCTCAGCATTTTTTCCAAGAACCCTGGATGAAGCAGCTCCAGCTCCAAGAATGAAAGCTCCAGGTAGCTCTATGTCYTTTGCAACTGCATTTAGATCATAAACCTGCAAAAGAAAAACAATCCTTCCGTCTCTGGAAGAGACAGGGCCAGACCAGGTGAGGTCCTGAGCAAAGKGACCTAGTGGGTGGCATCCCTGCTCACCACAGGAGGGGCTGAAACTAGATTATCTCTAAGTTCTCTTCCAACCCAAACCATTCTATGATTTTGGTGTGGTGTTCTGATCTGCCGTTGTCATTCTGTTCAGTGTAGTCCTGGAGGCTTTTAATTCACAACACCCACTCTCATTAATATTTTTGATAATTAGGTTGAACAAAGCTTCTGAAAACAACMTAACATTTAGTAATAATAAATGTGGTAGATATTTGTTTTCCTAAAGGTAGATATTTGTTTTCTAAAAGATAAAAACATTGTACTCAAAGACTGATTTATTGTTCTTACTAGATTTTGCTACATRCAATACATAACAGAATCAGCCCCATTAAACACTGGAACGTCTTTCAAAAGTAGAATTCTATAGTATCTCTTAATTCTTAGTTTTGTTTATAGCTTTTCTTTTGACATATTTATTAATCCCCACAGCTACAGGAAAATACTCACCTTTTCTTTCCGTGCAAGAGGTATGAGGTAAGGAACACCTCCCACATCTGCAATCCTAGGCTTTCCACAAATTCCTGGAAAAATACAGCCAGTTAGCTTGGTAAAATGTTTTTTCCTAATAATCTTCAATAACCATGCAGACTAACCCACCAAAGAACTGGTTCCTCGAACTTCCAGACCCGTGAGAACACCATTTCCCTAGCATGCTTAGCCATAGTGCTGCACTATTAAGAGGTTCCAGTCCTAAAATGATTCACAGTAGGATTTAATGCTATGCTGTTGTAAAATAATATTCTAAGCACAAAAAAAAAATTGCTAGAGTGGACAACACCATCCATTTGCCAGTTCTCCAGTAATGCTCTCACCATACAGTGGAGACCTCTGCTGGGACTCCGCTTGGAAAATTTTAGCAAAGCTGAAAGCTTTCTTAGGACAATCCATCCCACTTATTTGGATATGTATTTTAAGAAGTGATGAATAACCCCCTGGAGGTGTTTCTTTCACATTGATGCCAGAGGGAACTCAGATGAGCAGCACAGATGACATGCCTGTCTTCCAGACAGCTAATATCAAAGAACATGAATCCCATTCAGAATAAGACKGTTTCACTTCACTGACATACATGAATGCCAGGAATTTAAAAATTACAGAAGCACAACTCCTTAGGTTCGGGTAGTTGGCATGGTTCTAAAAAATTTCTCCATCTGAAAGATAACAACTTAATTTCAAAACCATTTTGGTACACTAAATAAAGMTTATGAAATAAGTGGGTATGCAATGATAGCTTAAGAAAAAAAAAACCAATGACAAGTACTTTGTAATGACTTGTCCCTGTCTATACATCACCTAGGAAGTAGAAATAAAATGTAACTCTCCTCTCATGTATATTCTTTACCTGAGAAACTATTTAAGCTCTCTCAACACCTTTAGAGGATCAAAACTAAGCAGGATCGTGTAGAAAAAGCTGGAGAAGTCTTAGTAGAAGCCAGGAAGGTTACCTTTAGCAGGAAAGTTGAAGGGTTCCTGAGTCAGATCAGGACAGTCTACAACAGAGACTTGGGCATCAGAAAAGTTCTCTTTAAGCCCTTTCTGCAAAACTATAATAAGGAATAATRGCAAAATTATTGACAATGAAAAATTACCACGAATTGGACAAGTTTCTAACAACAACAAATATATCTGTTTAGGCTTTATTTCAGTGATATACATTACTTATGCTTACCCTAAGTCACTCAATTGATTTAAATGTCTGCAGGCACATGTTTCATGACTCAGAGCKTCAGCGAGGAGCAAAAGTCTGTTCAGATAATTCTTGGCTATCACATTAATTAAGAATTTAAAAAACATTTTCATTGAAATATATCAACTGACTGCTCCTAGTAGCAATAGGAGCAGCACAATGTGAAGTAACATGGGTAAACTTCAATCACATTCAGCACAGGGTTTGCTTCAAAGAGCAAGTAAAATCATGGYCAAATATGATGCAAGAGCAAAGGAYGAAGCAAGATTSAGCTGAAGCAACAATYAGTTCTTTAAATACATTAACCATATGGTTTGCAATAACTTGATTATAATCTCAAACCATCTCTACTGTCTGGAAATTTCTACCGCCATGGRATACTGCCTATCATGTTTATGCTCTTGCGAAGATTTTCTGGCAAGTGCCATGTCAGAGCAATACAGATAATGAATGGTTTTGGTGATAATGAACCAAATGTAAAACTTCTATTTTGCTTCATATCAGCATTTTTTTAGGCTCAGACCCTGCAAAGTCACTCAAAATGAGGATTAGATGAGTGCATTGTTTGGAAACAACTTCCAACCCTTGAGTGTGGGATTGTCTTCAYGTACACTGCTTCAAATACCACATTGAAAGGTCCAGGTTCTCTCATGCCTGGGGATCTGCTTTGACAGATGTCTCAAACTAAAGAACAGAACATCCAGTCTGTGATCTCAAATCAGGTAGTTCTTTATTTATGCAGAAGACTTTTCTGTGCCTTTGTTTCCTCCAATTAGGGTTTCAGCCATACCTTATGTCTCAAGATCAGATTTACCAAGCTGTTGACCAAAAGGGTCAGTAGATGATACTTGGTACATTTATAAATACATCTCAGTACCTTCTGGTAAATGGACAAGGACAATAAAATGGCACTCCTCAAATTATACCAAAATCTGGACAGCAACACAATCCGCAGCTTTCAGGAGATCCTCAGGACAGATGTGAAAAAAAGGAAAATTCTGCTCTGTGATGAAATTTTTCTGATACTCTTTCAAGCTGTTCTACTGCAAGTATGTGGTATTCTCTGCAGAGCTCACAAGTTTACAGCAGCCCTGGCCTACTGCCCCAGTCTGAGTGGGTGAGAAAAGCCCTGGGAACCACCCAGGACACTGCTGGGACCACACGTTCTCAATACAGGGAAACATCGAACTGATACAGATTCGGGAAAGTGGCAAATGGAACTTGATGATCAATCTAAAAGACAAGAAACCTTTAGTATATCTGCTGCAGGGGAAAGACTGCCAGAAGGAATAGTATCTTCCYCCTAGGGCAAGAAAAGAAGCTCATGAGCAACTGGGCTGAACCCAGAAGTCCCTTCCAACCTCAACCATTCTGTTATTCTGAGCACATCTTGTGAAGGCTTTAGAAAGAACTAAACTAAAAAAARATGTTCCCTGTAGCCATGGTCTAAGGCAATCACCAAAGGAGGAGCCAACTAGGTTCAAGCAAGAGGATATGCCATGCCACACTCCATCTASGCAGCTGTGTTTTGAGTAGACCTGAAAGAAATACTAGAGCGTAAGACAGATGATTCTGTATGTGTAAAGAAGTTTGGTGTGTAGTTGTTAAATTTTCACAGCCTGCACACAAACTGCAAATGCAGCAGACAGTTTTAAAGGGATTGAGAGCCTGTCTGTGTGMTTAAATATCATGGGGGCTTGGGGGAGGAGTCATTGTTTGCTCTAAGAAAATCACAGCATTTAGAGAAATAGTGCAGTTCTTTACCTCTCAGTGTGCCAAGAGCACAAATTCTGCATACACTACTTCTAGAAAGACTTTGGTATGAGCTTTAAAATAAGTTTAAAGAGTACATTACAAGTTTATATAAAGTTGCACACTGCATGACTTACCCCCAGCAAGCTCCTCTAGACTTGGGACATGAAAAGCAAACCTTTCGACTTTGGCCATTTCCTAATCGGTGCTGATTTCTTCAGGTAAGAAGTTACAGTACAGCACACTGCAGGAGCGACTGGTCTGCCAACAAAGATAATAGTTTAACAATTTAAACATGCTCCTTTCAATATGTTAGTCATTTTTCAGTTTCACTCAAGAATTCATAGAAAACAGTAGAAGTGTAGCTCTACCATCACAGGAGAGACTGACAGCTTCAATARTAAAGTCGAATTTCTTATGCATTTTGGAAGAAGATGTCAGTCAGCCCTATAGCTGGCTCAGAGCATTACACATGCTAGTCCTCAAGCTTACAATTGGTTGTAGGCAAAACATATTCTATGCTGAATACAGTTGAAAAGATAGGAGATTTGCATGTCTTTTGTAAGCCTGGAGTCACAAGAAAGTTTTGGAAAAAAACTGGGCTTTTCTAAGCCCATTAGCTGCCTCCTAAGGTCTTCCCAACTTTAATGTTTACTTTTCCAGCATTGGYTATGGTGGACTTTCAACCCCAGATSTCCAACTGATTCTGGGAATATGTTTMCCCTTGCCGAGAAGAACAGGCTAGCAGCAAAATAAGAATCAACAGCAGCAAGTTCTGCAGTATTAGGCTCTGTATGGGTACAGGGTCTGTAACAAAAAGTTTTGAGTGAAAGTTTAAGAGCCCCTTCACAAGTTAACTGTACTTCAGTCAGCCTTGCAAGAGCAAAGTCAGCTAGTAGTGCAGGCCATTAGCTCAGGGCAGAAAGAGCTGATTGTACACTACCTGAAAATCAGCAATCATTAACTCCTTAGGCACATACTTACTGCACACAGCAATAAAAAACAAAATGGGTCCCACTTATCCAGATCTCAGCTGTTGAAGAAAAAAGCCAGTATCCTAAATACATTCCCAGACCTGAGTCTTTGTTGGGAAGTTGTGTGAGACAGCTGCTTATGTACAGGTCTAGCTTCTATTTTTTAAAAAAAATCCCAACTTTTATGACTGCCATACATTGTAACTGTCCTTATACCATAAGCATCTTGAGCCTGCATAAAGGAAAAAAAACATAAACAGTAGGAAAAAAGAAGAAATAAGAAGAGTGGAGAGATCATAGCAGTCACCTAATTTAAGTCTTTGAGCTCAATGCTCAGCCACCCCAAATTACTGCTGTAGCAAGCAGTAGAGAAAGGRAGAAAGACTGCAACCTGTGTATAGTAATTCTTATCTTAGTTGGTCTTATCTATCACCACAGTTGACTTTTTCCTCCTCTGGCTTTGGAGAAGAAAGTAACAGGCTGGATTTGGTGCCTCTGGTACAAATCTAATATCAGGTGGAGTGAACCATATCCCAACACTTCTAGTGTGCACTAAGAAAGGGAGTAATTAGCCAGAGACAGAAAGTGAGAACCCAGCTTTGGCAGCATTGTTTTAGATGATCCTCACCTCCTAAAGAACTTTTTGCCACATCTAGAAGGAGGCTGTGCCAGCAGTTGATACAATGGTTGTCCTGAAACAGTCTGAGAAGACAAGCTAGAACTGCTGTTGTGCAAAGGCAGAGGCATGACTTGGATGCTATTCAACTAAGTAGGCTTAGGTGCAACACCTGGACATTCACCTGCTGTGYAATGGGACAGTACTTAGCTCTCCACAATCAAGAAAGGAGGAAAAAACTGTGGAAAAACTTGATGCACCATAGTGAACCAGATCTGACTGTTAGAGAGTAGTTCTTACCAGTAATGACACAAAAGAGTAGATCTGTGGCCCACCACTGCCAAGTATTCACAGGGGAGTGAATTGTGTGGTGTGGGACAGGGAGAACCTGAAAGGAGACAACAGCACACAATTAAGATCCATCACAGAGTGGTGCAGTGACACTGAATTGCTACAGAAGAATTTCAAAGAAAGAACACAAATGCTAAAGGGATGRTAAGATTATTAGATGTGGGATAGTGCAACAAGAATGGAGGCMATATGCACGTAAAGACTTAAAGTCTTCCTTTGGAGTGGGAAGAAAACATCAGAGAGTAGCCAGGTGCCAGGAGAATGCAGATGAAATACAAACTATTAGCTTAATGATGTATGTGGGTTGTCTATTATCAAAACCTGAATTGAAACTAGCTTGGAAGGTTAAAGCCAAAAAGGAGAGGGTTTAGGCAGGCTAGACATGAGTCGGGGAGGGGGGTGGTGGGGGAAGAAATATCAGTGGAAAAAWCTAGAGATGGCAGCTGTGAGAGAGAAATTCAACGATGACACCGAGAAGAGCAAGACATCCACAGATGCTGAGCCCGTATTCCTCGGCTGGGGCGGTGCGAGGAGATCCCGTACGGAGCAGACGAAGGCTGCAGGGCATCAGAGGGAACTGCTTGAGCGGCTGGGATTTGGGGAAGGAATGGGTCGTGGCAGGGCATAAACAGGCGCACTAGGTGAGGCTGGGGTCCGTAAGGATAGAGAGCATCCCCCCAGGCAAAGGCAGCGAAGAGTGATGGAGGGAGGGAGCGCTAAAGCTGGCAAGCCCGCCTTGGCATGGCTGCGAGAGGAAGGAATGGGTTGTTGAGGCTGGGGCAGCCAGCTCAGAGGAGTCTGGGCAGCGCGAGGAAGGAGAAGCGGGATAGCAGTTACGGGAGTCTATCACCGGGCGGGAAGTCGAGAGAAGCCGGGCCCTGCCCGATCCCTGTCCCGCACCGACCGCGGCTATCGCCCAAGTGCACGTACCTGCCCCGCCGTCCGGGACCGGYACAGCAAGGCAAGAGACGGCTCCGCTCGACACTACCAGGCTCGGCACCCCTCGGCACCGCTCGGCTCCGCTCGGCACTGCCCGCCCCTGGGCGCGGCCACACTGCTGCCACTCCCAGCATGGGCCCACCCTCCTCCCCCGCCTTCCCGTCGGCCCGCGCGCCTCTCGCGAGATCCCGGCGCTATGTAAGCTGCGGGGCGGCCATTGCGCGCCCTTTGCGGCGGGGTGGTGGAGGTGTGCGGAGGTGAGTTGGGGCGGGCGGATCCGGYGCCATCCACGTTGCYGGGACCCGAGACYGAGGCACYCGGCGGTGGGGRAGGACAGTCCCGGCGGTGTTGARTGGTGCCCCAAGGATCGCGGCRTGTGGCGGCGGTCGGTGAGGGCCAYCCCGGCCTGTGGTGACATGATGGCTGCTCGCATTCGAAAGGCCTTGCCGTGGCGCCGATCTCAGCGCTCTACTGGCAACTGAGCCAGGCGAGGGGGAGAGTGGTATGCCTGGCACCTTTCAGCAAGTTCAGTTGGTTGTTTTTCTTTCCTAAGGGAGCTGCGTGCTGTTGCAGCGCTCCAGGACGGAGCTGCGGTAGAGACCGCGCAGGATGCTGAGCAGCGAACTGTGAGTATCGGTCAGAGTGGCACTGCTGCCTCTGTCCTGGCTTYGGTCTTGCTCGGTTTTGTTGATGGGCTTTATGTTTGTCGGGCTGTGGGTGAATCGGTGTTAGTGCTGTGCCCACATAAGGCACAGTGTAGCTGGCATATCAGTATATTTCTCGTCGTTAGAGGCCCAAAACTGAGCACAGGAATTAAAGTGTGCCTCATCAGTACCGATTACAGGGGGATGATCACTGCCCTGGTCCTGCTGGCCACATGCCGGATACAAGCCAGGGCGCCCCTGGGYTTTGGCCACCTGGGCACAYGCTGGTTCATGTTCAGCTGCTCTTGACCAGCACCCCCAGGGCCTTTTCCACTGTGACCCAAGGGTAGGACCCAACACTTGACCTTGTTGAACCTCATACARTTGGCTTCGGTTCATCCATCCAGCCTGTCCAGATACCTCTGTAGAGCCTTCCTGCCCTCTAGCAGAKYAACRCTCCCWCTCARCTTGGTGTCATCTGCAAACTGAATGAGGGTGCACTGAACCCCACTGTTGAGGTTGTCAGTAAAAGCATTACACAGGACTGGCCCCAGCACTGAGCCATGGGGAATATCACATAAGCTGGATGTAATTTAATTTAGCACCACACTCATGGCCAGCTATTCAGCCAGTTTTTYACCCAGTGAACGCATCCAAGCTATGAGCAGCCAGTTTTTCCAAGAGAATGCTGTGAGAAATTAAGTCCAAAGCTCTAGTGAAGTCCAGGCAGACAACGTCCACACCTTTTCTGCATCCACCAAGTGGGTCAGTCAAGACCTGCTTTTCCTAAACTTATGCTGGCTGGTCTTGATCCTTTGGTTTACCTGCATGTGCTATGTCATGGCCCTCAGTGTGATCTTAAGCCTGTGAAGGGCTGGATTGTGTTGTCTTACAGATTCAAGGAAAAGTTAACATTTTGTTTTTGGGGCTGGTCTCTATGATGATTGATGACCAGTGAACAAATGGGTGATTCATTGTTAAGAGCAGATTTTAGGTATCTTAGCACACAACAGACCAGGGAAGATGGCATTACTTTTCATGGTGACACTGTCTTGGATTAATTTATTAAACTAGAGAGAATATCTGTGTATGACGTTAAAAATGCCATATCTTTTACAAGTAAAAGAAGCTATTGGTCGTGTGTGTGCTTCTTAAGAGGAGAACTTAACCCTAGTAGGGAGAGGGTTAAAACATKCAGAACTCATCTCAGTAAGTCTCTGAACAATCTGTTGCAGCTCTGAYGTTTGCCTTGCTTTGGGCAGGAGTTAACCCAAAAAAGCTCTAATAAACATTATTTGACCTAAATTATACTGTGAATATTYTTACATAAGTGGTTGTGACTTAACTGACAGTGTGAAGAACATATTTTGTCATGGTTCTTAGGAAAATCTCTGCTCAAGTTTGCTCAAGATTATTCTTGTAAGTTTACCCCGTGGCTATGAGTGGAGTAGGGGAAAGTTTGTTACCTGATAAACAGAAATATTTTTAATTTCTTGAATTCTCATTGCTTTTTAGGGCAAACTAAAACATGACTGATACAGATGAGCCCCAGGCKTCTGGCTCTGATTACCCTGATTCCCAACAGCTGATCAGCCATCAGCAGAAGGAGCCATCTGAGGTGTATTTATGGCAAACRAGTACAGGAATGGAGCATTCCAGGTCAAGGCAGAAGAAGGCTGCTCCTGAGGAGTCTTCAGGTCACCTTAACAGGATAAYTGAATCATCAGTGGCATCAGCTGAGGTTTTAGTGATTAGCAGTGATTCAGAAACGTGAGTTTTGATCGCTCGTTAAGAATTTTTGCTGTGAAGAAGCCTGTGTCATGTAGCACAGAAGTGTACCTTCTTCTGAAAGTAAAAACTTTTTTCYTCTTCAGTGATGACTCTACTGCTCGTCCTGAGTGCTCCATTGCACCTTCAAAGCAAAAAAGGAAGTCTCAGTCTTCGAGGCAACAAGCTGAATCTGTTACAGGAGTAKCAGACAATGAAAGCTCCTCAGATTCTTCTCTGTCTCCCCAAAGTCCAGGGAAATCTTCGGAAGTTTCCAAGCAGCAGAAGTCAAAACTCAATCTGAAGGCCATTTTTGCCTATCACTTCAGGGGAAAGAAGTTCAAAGCAGCTGCACACCGAAAATTCAAAATTCACTCAGGGAAGAAGAAGAAGAAGAAAAAGTATGAGAGCACACAGATGCCCTTGGGGAGGCCCCCACTGACAGCCTCACCTCAGGAGCAAAAGAGGAGGCTTCTAGACAGAGGCTTTCAATTCCCTTTTGTCGAAAAACATTAYGGGGAGAAACATATTCCCTTAAAGATGGTTCTCGGCTATGAGGTAAATCCTCTGTTCTGTGGGATAAGTATATTATTCAAAAAATGGTGAATTGAGATGGGCTATGTTATGCTTCTACTTGACGTGCTAGAATAACGACACGGGTTTTACTGTTGTTCAGTGGGACACTTGATGTTGTCAAACACAGCAAGAATAYATATGGGCATTGATATAATATTACAGTTCATAATACACAGACTTCATAGTGGTATTCTTAAGATCTTACCTGAGATGTTTTTTTCTATAGCAAGCAGCTGCAAAGGGATATTTCAAGTATATTGAAGTGCTTAAATATGAAGAACATCTTAAAAAAGCCCTAAAAGCCCTTCAAGCCAGYGAAGATTTAGAAAAAGAGTGTGTGGTGTTACGGAAACACAAATACTTAGATGATGAAGGCCCCATTTCCCCTATTCAGGAGACAGAGTAAGTTCATCTTTACTTGCTCTTTTGTTCTTAACTAACATAAATATGTGTGCGCATCAAGTTCWGTTGTTCTTCTGTCATTTTAACCTATAAAAGCATTGCAAGTCAAAAAAACCCAGTGTAAAGGTACAATGCTGTCTTTTAGCTACTGTTTATTTAATGGCTTGTAGTTTACATATTTTAAAATACTGTAAAAGTACACAGCTTGATTAAGGTTTTTATTTCAGTGATGATGAMGACAGCTTGATTTGTGATAATCAAGAACAACTTGATGCCAGAGTAGTGGTAAGTCAGCACTCTTAAAGTTCAGGAACTCTCTAGCCCTTCTCTTGTGAAGTTAAAGAATTAGTGGACAATGTTTTCTGTACTGAGTTCTTGAGTTTAGATCCAGAGTTAATTGTGTATTCTTGTTGATTCTGATCTGTTAATGCAGGGGAAGGTTGATTGTACACATTTTCCTCTTTGATGTAATGCTGAAATGTATATAGGAATTGTACAAGATTTTTAGAGTTCTTTAAGTCTGCAGATTTACTACTAAAATCTTACATATCTCAAAACTAGACTTGTGAATATTCTGTCTTCCATTTTCTTAGGAGAACAGCTCTTTCATTCTAAGCAGCACAATTCCCAGTAAGAAAAAATCAAAGCCAGGGAAAAAACGTGCAAAACCAGCTGAAGTGATTGAAATAGTGGATGAAGAAGACTCTGCTGGGGAGAACTCAGTGCCTCTGCAAGGCTCAGTTCGGTGAACCACAGATGGACAAATGATGTGACAGCAGTCATTCTTCACATACCTCTTTCATGGGCCTACTTGGTTCAAAATGTTGGTCTGAAGTCACTGTTGAGGTTCTGCACCAAGCTGCCTAAGCACATTTGGCTTACTGTGAGTATATTGAGCTTATGTCTGAGACAATTWAAAAAGTATAATTTGTCCCTTTAATACAATATTTGAGTCTTCTGTGCTATTCTATGTTAGGAGTATAACGTCCCTGGTTCTGTTTCTGATAATCTTGCTTAAATTCTGGCTTCTGTAAATAACTTGACTACTGTTAATGAAGGAGTCATAGAATTTATCTAATTAAAAATAGGAAGACAAGTTCCATACACTGTAACAGAGCCRCAGCACAGTATAGAAGAGTATGTGTTGGCATGCATACATCTGGATGCTCAAATTAAACAAGGTAGTTTAAATGCCTTTCTTCCACAGGTGACTTCGTTGTGGGTGGTCCTTGAGGGATTGTTTTTCTGTCTTTAGAGGTGCAGGCTTGAAATAYTTCAAAAGTTAAAGGGTTGAAGACAATTGAAGCACAATGCAAATTGAGTGGCAACAATAAAAATGCAAAAGTAGTTGGTCAGCTTTGACAAGTGTGTTGCAAAATGTGGTTAATGTATTTGAATGATAATTAAATCAATTTTACTGAGGTTGTCTGTTCCACATGGAGTAACTTCTCAAAAAGCTAATTCTCTGCTCCTGAATTTAATACAATAATCTGAAGTTGTAAGTAATCATGCATGTAACTGTAGCAGCAGTGAATCTTCGGTTAAAAATTCTTTTGCCCTCCTGTCCCAAATGGGTTAGCATGACTTAGAAGACGACAAAAGCTCTTTAACAACACTAGTTACCAGGCATTGCCTCAGTTGTAAGTACCTTTCTCAAAGGCATTTTCATCAGTAGGAAACAAAACTAGTGTTCAGAAGTGGTCTGAATACCACTAAGTCCTACTGCAGCTGTTGTGGTAACTGAAGAAATAAATGGCTAAAACATTCACTTGTGAATCAACAAGATTTAAAAAACAGTCACCTCACAGTCTCACTCAGGTACTCTTAAACAATTTGCTATCAGCAGCTGACACTGTTCAGCAGGTAAAAGCAAGCTGCTGAAGGAGCAAGTTGTCACAAAAAGGCTTTATCTACTTGTTTAATTTCCTTCAAATGTAGCTGACASTCTGAGGAGATTTGCAGTAGATGCTCAGTACTGGGAGCAAGTGAAGCTGTATTACATGCTTAACTAAGGTCCTAAACCTTTTGTAAAGGAAGTTACCCAATTGCAATTTGGTAGCTCTAGAACTGCAAAAATTGCTCTTCAGCATTTAAAGATGACAACTAAAATTGGTCCAGAATTCATGGCGACACGTAACTCTTAGGCATCTACCTGAGAAATACTCAATGGCTTGAAAGACTCATCCTGAATATAGGAGTGGGGTTCTTGCTTGGTAAGGCAGAGTTAGTGGTATGTGGAGTCCTGCTCATTCTGCAGTTCATGTGATGAATTTTGCTGTTCAACTGCTGAGTGACTCAGAAATGAACTAAATTTTCAATTCTGACTAGAGCTGGATAAACACATAAAATCAAGCTTGTTACAGCTGTTAAATTGATTGTTGAAACCTGCTTTGACTTCAGGAATCTTCAGTTATTTGACCATACATGACAGTTCTTACCACTGTTCTTTTTTTTCCCCCTTCTAGTTTGTTGCTTTTGGAAGATAATTTACCTCTTGGTTTTCTTGCTGCACAAGGTAAGCTGTTAGTTGGGTTTYGGTTTTGTTTTCTTCAGGTAGCTTTTCTTTGCATTACTTCACAAAAGGTTTGAAAAAATGGTGCACGGTAGTTGAATACATTRCAGTGCTCCACAGCTGAGCAGCGTTCGTGTGTGAAGCTTCCAAGGTGTTGAGTTCAGTGCCACACACCTTTCATCAGTCTGACCAAAACTAGAAACTCTAGCCTCTCCTCGAACAAAAACAAAAACTTAAGTTCTTGTATACCTCTTAAGTGCAGGTTTTGTTGAAGTTATTTATAGAAATGCATTGGTTTTATCTGATGTGGAATGCTGCAAGGCTGATTTGGTTTGGACAATGTTGGCTGGAACTTCTTCTGCTTAAAGATGTTGAGGAACTACTCTCCCCTTAGCGTCTTCATGGTGCCTCACCCACATTCTGTGCCAGGATGTGTCATACAGCTGCAGCTTCTGATGGCTTTTCTCTGGTAAAATTCCATCTTAATTCATATCCACTGCAAGAACAGGAGGAACAGCAGAGAGCAGCTGGTAGTCTTGCATGTACATGGCTGTGAAAGCTTTTTTAAGGAGGATGTTACCACATTTGTATGGCTTGGAGCAGTGTAGGAARTAGCAYRGAAGAAAGCACCCTCTAARGATACGRCATAGCAAAACCCCTTCAGCATGGGAAWCAGCTGAGGGTGGGYAARTAGTGAAAYYTTACAAGAACATTCTTGAGTAATAGAATAGGAAGAGACCTCTTAGTTGGGCATTGTCATAGGTAGAGTACGGCACTAGAGAGCACATCAGGTTGACACGGTATATATAAGTAGTTTCGATCTGATTCTGAACTCACCACATTTACCCTGTTTGAACTGCCTGTCTCTAAAACTGGAAAACACGGTAACTGTCAGCTTCCACTCCTACTAACAGTAAGTATATAGTCAATTGGGAAGCAGCTTCAAAAACTGTTTCAAAAATAGTGAAAAAAGGAATGTGTAGAATCTGTTCCAGCACTTGATCAGGTTTTGTCTTTTGCTGTAGGCAAAAACCTGGAACCTAGTGCTTAGAAAAAACCCTTCTTTTGCAACCCACAGCTGATAAATGTATTGGTTGTGTTACTTAYATGAAGGGACAACATTTGCATGGCCTCAAATAGCATTCATTCATTCAAGTACTGATCAGTCTGGGGCRTGTGTTCAGTGCTTGAGATGTAGTGCAGAAATGTAGTTCAGCTGCAGAAATGTAGTTCAGTTGTATCTTTCTTTGCAGAGGAACACACCAATACTGCAGCARTAACTTGGGGATGTCTTGAATTCTTATGACTGTTTGCTGGGTTTCTGATTCACAAATCCATTACCTCAGTGGACTTCTGTGGTAGTGAAAGAGGTAAGCTTTGTGTTTGTGCTTCAGCATAAGAGTAATTGGATTTCTTCAGTCTAGTGCTATTTCCTCAGCAAGTTAGCAGACTAATTTGTGCACTGTATGGTATCTGCACCCAGCAGTGTCTTCCTGATGCGGTGTTCAAAAAGCAGTGCTACAGTATTTCAACAGCTGGCATCGTTGGTTTTCATGCACATGTGCAGGTTAAACTTGGTATTTCTGTTGAAACAAGTAGATKTAGTTTTTCTTACTGGGAATCTTGTCAGATACAACTTTTAAAAATTGTTACACTGTTGGGGGATAAAAGTACAATTAAATTACTGACATTGTTCCAAAATACTTTTTTCTTAAAGGGACATTCCTGTGATTTCTGGAACATAGTGGAAAGCCTCTACTCAAGTGTAAGTATTGGGGAAATAGTTGCTTTTTTTTGCCTAGGTGGAGGTAGTWGGATGATGATCATAAAAGCTCCATCTAGTCTTGATTTTATTTTGGCTGCCTTTTGACCAAAAAAAAGGATTTCATTTTGAAACATTAATTCAAGTACGCGGTGACCACTAGAACAGGTTTCTTTCAAAGTTACCTGGCTAGGCTTAAAAACCAGGCTATTCTACAGACATTGTGCAGTTTTTATGCCTTGTTCTTCAGCAAATAGGCACAACCTGCTGTGTGTCTGAATTGGAAAACGGGGCTAGAACAGTAACAGGTTCTGCTTTCCTCGCTGTAARGTTAATTGCAGTGGTGACAATGAGACCTGTAACAAATTCATTAGCAYTCAGGCAGTGTAACTGGACTACAGTCTGCATGGCTTCATACTGAGATAGAAGTACCCAGGTCTTAATGAACTGTTTAAATACTGAAAGAACTTGAAAGTGTTTCTTACATACAATGATTTATTTATTTTAGGAAGTCCACCTGAAGTCCAGTCTGAACTAACATTTTGGTAAGTTTGTGGGACATTTTTTTTCACCCTTGCCTGTTGCAGGTCAGCCCAGCCACCCTTCTTTAACTTGATGAGTTGGTTACTTGCTAAAAAGATGTAATACTGTTTCAGAAAACATGGGAGCTTTTCTTACCCGAACTTTAGAATGGCTGAGAAAATTGTGGTGATGATTGGCAAAATGTTCAACTGCTCTGAAGAGAGTGAATGAGAAGAGCCTTTCTGAACAAATCTACTCAGTACTGTTGTAGGTTCTGCTGATTTGCATGCACACACATGCTGGATGTAACATTACTTGTTTTTTTTTGGCAGTACTTGGGAGAAAGTGAAGGAAGAAATGCAGGATGCTATTTCACCGGAGGTCTGAAGCCCCTTCAAGGGTTAGTATGACATCTGAAGTTCTGCCTGTACTGAATGACTGAAGGGCTCTTTTTTTTTTTTTTCAATGCCCAGAAATCTCTCAGATTAAGTTTACTAATTTGTGAAGGTTTCAGGGACTGTTTTCAACATTGCATTACTGTATCTTAATGTATCATTCATTCTGTTAAGAGAAAATTTTATTGTAACTTTGGTTTGCCCAAAGAATGTTCATATTAATTCCTCAGTCAAAAATGAGGTGATGAGGTTAACTGCTWAAACTGATAGTTTTGTTTTGACCTGTAAGTTACACTTGATGGGAAGTTTATAGGGAGGATTCTGCACAGTTTCGTAGTTAATTCCCTTTGATGTTTGCTTCTCAGGTAACTTGTAATGTTAATATGAAGGAGGTGCTAGTGTATTATTTACCCTCCTAACCCAAAATGTCTTGAATCAACTTAAAAAGACACTTGGTGGGATCTGTACCAAATACCTTTCTAGTCTGCTTGATTTTTATGTGTTGTGTTTATTTACAGTACTACAAGTGTTGAGGTCTATCCCGATAGGATCTTTTCTGTAGGTTCATGTCGTTGGAAACGCCTCACAGAATAAACTTGTGGTTTGGCTTTACCCACTGAACTACCTGTTAGCTCTGTGGGATAAAACTGCAAGACAAATCTTATTGTGGCATCCTAGGAACTGCAGTGATAATACCTAGTGTTCTCCTTTAGGTGTACTGTAACATGCTTGGATACAAAACAAACTGATTCAAGTGGAAAAGACTGGTAATAGTTAAATATCAGTGTGTTCTGGGAAATAAGTGCAACTGACATTCTGAATTACATGGGCTGAACTGAAACTTTTGCCCAGGTTTTTGTGTAGGTATCTGACTTGTAGCACTGCTTTTTTACTGCTTGTTTTCTGGATGGTTTGAAACAGTCTATTCACCCTTTAATCACAGAATGATCATTTCTTGTTTCAGTAGCTGTAGGTAAGAAGAGATAGCACTGTGGTGTCTGTCTTGAATTAACTTAATAAACTTACTGCATTTTTGTTTTGTATAGAGATGCTTCATACTGAGCAGMAATATTTGGGTTCTATCTTCAAGTATGGGGTTTAAAAAATTAATTTCTGAGCACCTCAGCCAGTTTCCTACTGTACTGTTGAAATTYATGGCTTCTGTTTTGTAGAATAAAGCRTTTAAAATAATCAAAATCCTCTAGAGGTATTAGTGGATTGCCTCTTACTCCCAGGCACTCACAAGTATGCAAGAAGCTTGAATGTAAAATGAGCTGTTGTGGTTGAAGGCCTGTAGGCTGTATAGTGTTCCGTACAGCACCTGCACTCAGCAGCCTTCTGGTGGGATGTTCAAAAAGCWGTGCTACAGCAGTTAGGCATCCTTTGTTTTCATTCTGCTATTAAACCTATTTTTGCTGGAAMAGTCTTCAACCTCTTGAGGGATTTAAGTGTATGTGTTTTGTATTTTCATGTGAAAAAATAGACATTTTCATTTGTTTTCATTTTGATTATCTGTGAAAACTGGTTACTGGCCTCTGGAACTCAGCAAGTGSATTCAGTTTCTTCTTTCTAACAGGTGCTTGAGGATACAGTATGAAATTAACTGCCTGAGTCAAAAAAATGGAACCTGTTTGACAGGTAAGCACTAAGTTACTAGTTCCATACTACTTAAGAGTGTATTAGCTTAGTATGATTAAGCATCAAAACTTTTAACTGCTGTAGAACAAAAACTGGTTAATGATCCCTGCAGGTGTTGGCAGTGTCTGAGCAGATCACTCATTTATGAGTTGTTCCTGTGTGTATATGTACTTCAGATAGCTGTCACAGTTGTGCAGCCCTCTGTAGTACTGGTGTCTTAATTAGACTGCTGTTACCTATGAGGGTTCCTCTGTACTTGGGGCTTTTACCAGATCTTGGGCTTGTTCACCACTTGGCTGACAAATTGTCAGAATTGATTGATTCTTTACTGGAAGGGATGGGGAGCTGGATTAAGTGAAGTCCTGTAAGAGCAGTGAGAGGAGTATCTGGTCATTACCAAGGCTGCTGGGATGTTACTGTTTCTGGTGAGCTGTGGACATGACCATAAAGCAAATCCATCAGACTCTCCTGTTGCCACACAATGTGGCACCAAGTCTGCTGGGAATAAAGCTTTAACATAGGTCAAGGACACAACATTCCCTTCTCCTCCTGGGAGCAAGTTCCTACTGACGTGTAGGGATGTGGCTGTATCCTTGGGTGCATTCAACACTTTAAATACAGAGGAACAAAAGCTACAATTGGAATATTTATAGATTGAGTTCCAGAGCTCCTGCTGAAAGGGTGGTTCTTTTGAACAGAAGCAAAAAAAGGAAACAAAGCTGCTCCATGTGATTTATACCCAATGTTCACTTTTCCCCTGTACTAACCAAACCTGACTGTTCAACTCCTAGTGTCTGCTACCAAGTTTCTGCATTTCAGAGAGATGAGAAACACCACCTGGGTGCTACTGAAGTGAGTGTGAAGGTAAGGGCACTTACCAAAATGGCTGGTAGTGTAAAGAAAKTAAAGGTCACTTCAAAGAGGGTTTGCGTGGCTGAAAAACCAGCAGCTCTTAACGCGGTGACCGCATATTAAAATCCTCTGCAGGATGCCATGAACACTCTATGTGTGCTATGGTCTATTTGTGAGGAGATAGTACGTCATGTAGTTAGGCCTCCTGGGCTGGAAAAGGTCCTTTTTCTGCTGCTTTTGGGGTTTTGTGATGCTGATGTAGAGAGGCTAGTTGGTTCCATTTTGAAGCAACAATTTGCAGCAGGACATTGGAGAACTGGGCGGCTAGAGTTGTGGTTTCAGCAGCCTTGCAGCCCAGTTGCTGCTCGTGTTTCCAGATAAGGGCAGTGCAGCTRGGGAAGGGTCTGGAGCACAAGTTTGAGCAGCCAAGGGAGCTGGGGTGTTAAGCCTGGAGAAAAGGAGGCTCARGGGGGACTTTCCTGCTTTGTACAGCCACCTGAAAGGAGCTTGTGTGGAGAKTAGGGATTGGTCTGCCAATTAACAAGCAGTAGTACAAGAGATTACCTCAAGTTGTGGCAGGAGAGGTTTAGATTGGGTATTAGGAAAGAGGCGTTCATTTGGATTGAAAGTGCTAATAAAAACTTTCCTTCTTTCAGATCCTGGTGATGTTACTGGAATCCTGCTGCAAAGAACTCCACAGCCATTCCAAATAAAGAACCTTCTCTAGAGTGTTTATTGCAGTTTTTTGGAATTAAACATTCATTTTAACTTGTTTCTACTGCTTTGTGTGTTGTAGTAGTGCATATTTTGACTTGCATCTTGCCCTTCAGGGAGCGGTGGTGAAGGTGCCTGTTTGGTATTAGAGAGACCCAGCTAAACTGAGTTTAGAAGTAGCTGGAGGTGGCTTTATCTGGTCTTTTCCCTCACATCTTGTCACTGAATGCAGTTGTACTAAAACCGTGGACTGGTTATTTATTCTGTACAGAATGTCACAAACCTTTAAATAAAACTTGGGGCTCYGGRCTGCAGSCTGGGCTTTTCYGTTGCTGCACTGAAAAGCCAACAAKRGCTGAGAAAATTTTGGCAGCTGACTACCTGTGACTTGCTGGTAGGAGAATGGCTGGGTCTCTTCCCTTTGATATTTGAGAGAGGAGAGGAACAAAAAATATTGATGTCACAACCTGAGCAGCACTTGTCAGTATTACCATGGTGAAGTTGACGCTCCATGCTTTACTGCTAATCAGCATTACAAACAGCCTCTACTACCTCCATGGAGTTTAACAAACTGGTTCTGGCTTATGCTCTGCTACTGCAGCACATGCACCTGCACCAGATTGAAATGAGTGAAACAAGTGTAAATTTAATTCATTAAAAAGCAGCTTTTTAAGACCTCCATTGGACCAGATTCAGAGGAGGTTGCAAAAATTACTGCAGCGTTGGAGCATCTGTGCAAAGAGGCTCAGAGGGGTTCAGTCTGGAGCAGAGAAGGCTGCAGGGGGACCTTATAGAGCCTTAAGGATTGCAGGGGCATTGGCCAGAGGACCTTGAGAGGTCTATTACAATCCCAACCATTCCATGATTTCCTGGTGCATTTTAACCACGACCAGCTTTAATGAAATGCACCTGTTAATMAGTTTACACCAGCAGTTGAGCTTTGAATTTGTCCTCATGTGCTTAGCTCAAAAAACACTGATAGAAAAATTCTTCGGAAGAAGTAACTAAGGTTTTTCTCTTCCATTCAAGTGCTTTAAGATGTACCTTGTGGCTGTAGGACCCCATGCATATAATCTTTAATCACCTAGTGCAAAGAACAGATAAAAAGTCCACCTTTACAGAATGAATGTACTGTCGCCCAAGTATTCAAATAACCTTAAAACTTTATTTGAAAATGTTTTATACATTTATATTACAAACCTTAAATCTCTTTAAAATATTAACATATAAAAAAAGGCCTTTTAAGCCAGGCCAGTCAACTCAGTCTGAGATAATGTTGAGAGCAGTCCATCTGCTGCTGTAGTGATTACAGGGGTTTGGGGTACTTTGCATTGTTTTCTTGCAGCTTAAAACTGCAGCTTCCTAATGGCTTTGTAATCCACCATTCAGGCTGCCATCAGTCAGTGGCCTGGACTGTACCAATATCGTTGCTCAAAGCTTTGCCTGTCACGGAGCTTTCGAAGTCCTCTTGGCTCGCAGTTTGTCCARCATTTTCTGCAAATAAAACCATGAGACTACAGTACTGAAGTGAGTGCCCTAAAGCCAGCAGGGCTSGGTACTGTGCCTGTAACCTGAACATCAGGAATGGACAGTGCTGCGGTCTGGACAGCAATGATCCCCTCCTCCAAAGAGGACGCAGATTAAAGGGTAGGGGGCAAAATGTGCTTATTTCTCTTATTTTCTGTTAATTATGGAATCTGAGAAGCAACATAACGAGCAGCAATTCATTCCACCACAATGCAGTTGAGGGTGGTCGGGGCTAAAGGCAAGAATTGCACCTGGCCTCCCCCCACAGCAGTCAAAGCCTGTCAGGATTATCAAGCATTTCTTTCCTTTCAAGGTGTCTGAGGCAAGCAGGACAATGGGGGTGTTAGATCCAGGCCTCTTCTTCAACCCTGTTCAACAGCAGCTGCATCAGAACCCAGACAAGCTTCTTGCACCTTTAAGTTTGGGCATGGCCAAAATCTTGCCCTACCCCAAGTAGCCAAAGCAATCAAAAAACCTACAGACCCAAAATATTGTCTTAAAATGGATATTTGGTCGAGGCTGGACTAAGAAGACTGTTAATGCTTCTGCCACCTARACTTTCTAGCMGCTGGAGCCTTTTTGCTCAAGTCAMGCTCAAGTCATAGACATGCTTTTTAGAGAAAACTTGTACTGTTGACAAGGAAATTAGGAAATTCTTACGTGAGATGTACCAACGGCATCACTTAACTTCCAGACTAGTYTGAGGGTCTCCATTTCAGCTCCATTCACACCACATCTCAATTACTCTGAYTGGAAGCTCAGTGAAATCATGAGACACTAGCAAGCTATTACCTTTTGAAACTCCTTAGCTTTTTCTCTGTTTTTCGCATAAGTTTCTTGTCTTGTTTTTTCTTCCTTTCTGTTTTTTACTTCTTCAAGCTGATTATAAAGTCTGTGAAAACAAAAAAAATCAGTGTCTGGGCAGGAAGAAGTGGCAAAACTGGAGTAAGTTAACAAGCTTTAGGGTTTGCCCTGGCTCAATTACCAACAATTAGGAAAATCTGACTGCTCTTCAATAATCCAGAATCATTTTGAATTCTTTTTCAGCTGCATCAAACAAACTCCCTCCCTGTTAAGAGTTGCACTTGTTGCATGTTACTGCTCSTAAATGCCCACGTGCAACTGTGAACTTTGCATCAAATTTCATCTCATGCCAGGCATTAAGTGGCACAGCTGCCTCAGCACAGTGACAGCAGCAGGGTGACCTTCCTCAGTGCCAGCTGTGCAAGGGCAGTTCCCAGCAGGACCTGCCTCAAACACACCTGGCTCCTCTCCCAACTGTTCTGTGTTAAGCAGCACTGGGTCCAACTGGAAGAGCACAGACTGAGCAGCAGCTCTCACAAGACATAGATTAACTAGTTCTGTTGGTTTTTTTGTTGTTTTGTTGTTTTTTTTTTAATTAAACTTTTCCCCTTGTGTTTATTGCAATACCTGGATGTACGCTGGTGCATTTCAATTTCTGCCGACTTCCTGTCCTCTGGAGAAGATACTTTCACTTCTCCWACCTTTTTCAGCTTATTGGCAAGTGCACCATTTTTTCCTAGGGTGAAAAAGAAAAAGCCAAACAAATTTAAATCTCTGTTTCAACTGAGAGATTTTCCAAGATTTTTAAATGACATGACCAAAAATAAGAGCAAAGCTAGCAGAATAGACACAACAGAGATGGCATCCTGTTAAAACATATCCTCCCAGTCTCACTCATGAGGCTGCTGCCTGTGGCCATCCATAGCTCTCCACAGCCAGCCCTCAAGTCCCCAACAAGAGGCACTAGATACACCAGTTTGCTTAATGTGGCTGTTCTGTGACAAGCAGCTGCTGTTTGCAGAGGCMTCTTGTGACGACAAAGGTGGGCTGATGGTGAAAATAAGAAGAGCCCCYGTAAGGGCCTTTACAACATTGAAGAGGCAGCCAGTGGGGGAAAACAAAGCTCCCTGAACCCCTGAGGAAAAAAAGAATAGCCTAGTCTGCAATAGCAAACACGTAGCAAATACAAAATCTGTTTATATAAAACAGCAGTTGAAAGGATACCTAATGCCATGTCTTGTCCCCAGATAAACCTACCAGAGAGATGAGACTCCTTTCGTCKGCTTCTTAGCTTCTCAGACTTTCCTCTTTGAAGCTGTCTTGCTTCCAGCTTTTCACTTTCTCTCTCCTTATTTTTTATTGCTTCTACTCTTTTCACGGATTCCTGGATGAAATTCTGCTTTCTTTTTAAAAAAGATTTTTGCAAACTTCCAGGGCTAGCTGCAAATTCCAGCAGCATGACTGTGAAAGAAAAGGAAAGTTTCCACATTCCTCACTGTTAATARTGAGCAATAAGTCATTTCAAAGCATTTCTCCTAAAAAGGTTAGCTTGAATACTTTTTGAATGGCATGAGGAGAATGGCATTGAATGATGAGGCATGTTGCAGAACAGGGAGCAGTTCAGGCTTATGGAATCCAGACACGGTCAGCAGGTCTRCCCACTCAAAAGCTGTGACAAATACTGCATCAAAAGCATCTTAATGCCTCAAAACATACTGAAGACCTGACAAGTCCCTAATGCAGTTAAGTTCTGTCAATTCCTGTCTTTCAAGTTACTGCAGTTCATCTTGGACACAAAAAGGTAAATATTTTACTACTATTCTACATTATCATCAGAATAGGAAAAAAAGGATAATTCTTTGTCTGTAGGACTTGTGGAACTAACAGGAAATGAGAAATAAGTGAAGGTGCATAAACTATGACAACAAATCAGAAAACAACACAGAATTTTTCAAAATTAAGTAATTACAACACAAAACAAGTGTAGTGYAGATTCTGAACTTCCTGTGCCAGGTTCTCTCTCATGAAAGAGGCAAGTGAATAGGACACACACTAGACCTGGGTCTAATGTACTACAGACCAAGCCTGAACAGCAGGATGCCCCTGTCCAAGTAAAAGCTCTACATTTTCCAAATGAGTGATGTATTTTATCGATGATTTGAATATTAAAAAAATACTTTCAACTTCAGTGTATTGAAGTATCCCATAATTACCTGCAGTCTGATGTGATGGACAGTGATTCTCATTGGGATTCTGGACTTTAGGAGAACTGCTAGGCCTCGAGAATGCTGAATAATGTGCATCTGGAGCTAGTGGTAAAAGTTCTCTTTCCTGTTTCAAAAGGACCAGTGATTGGAAATGCTTAAAATATACCACAGATTTGAGTGCTGCAGTACT